GGAAACTGAACCTTGCCTGGAGCTGCTCTTCTGGGCCAGGCTGAGTGGCTGGCACCGAGGCCCTCTCAGCCTGTTGGCATGGGCTCATCCTTCGAGCACTGGGACAAGCACTTTTTGTGCCCCTGATCCCAGCTACTCTGTAAGGTAGGGGCTATGATTGTCCCCATGTCACAGATGAGGAAACAGAGGCAGTGGATGAAGTCACTTGCCCAGGGCCACAGAGCTACCAAGTAGTGGAACCGGGCTTGGAAACAGGTCTGTTTTCTCTAGAGCCAGGTCTCTTATCCGTCCAGTCCTGACTGGCCTCCCTGCCTTTGGGACAGCGCAATACCAGGCCTGTCTTTCTAAACCTTAAACCTGGTCTTGTCAGTATCCTGCTTATAGACAGAGCCTGTGTTGTCACACCTCCCTGATCCCGCACGGCACCTTCCCATGTCATGCCCATCTTTCTAAGTTGGCCGCACAAGCCCACCTCCCCATGAAGCCATCCATTCGCAGTGAAGGCCCCCTCCATCCTCCAGCTCCCAGGAGCAGCTCCTTTCATCACAGCACCCAAGAAACTGCTTGTACTCATCTGGTTGTCTACCCGCAGACTGCCAGCTGCTTAAAAGCAAGGTTGGGGAAAGTCCCTCTCTTGATGACCCAGTAGCCAAGATGGCATCTGGGTTACTAAAGAGGAATTCAGGGATTTCCTTCATTGAACATATGTCCTGAGCATTTTCCCTATGCCAGCCACTGCACTGGGGGCTGGAGAAAGAGCAGGAACAGGGAAGGCCCCCGCCCTCCAGGGGCCCACAGCAGGAGGGGAGACAGAGCACAGGCACTGGTACTGCATAGTGATCAGGGGCTGTGGCAGCACTTAGGCCAGCAGGGGCGGGGGTTGGGAGGCGCACGTAGAGGGAGAGGAGGCATCCCAAAAGAGACCTTGGTACAGAGCAGATGGTGTGATACCCCAGGCTCAAGAGGCTGTTTGCCTGGGTCTGAGTCTTCATTCATTCACTCACTCACTCAGTCACTCACTCACTGCACAGATACTGTCTCTGCCTGGCCCTGAGTGGGCATTGGAGGGTTCAGCGGTGACTAAGATATACAGCCTTTCCTTTGTGGAGGTTCGAGTGAGACTACCTTGGGCAGGAGTTTGGGCATTCCTGGAACTGGGTGGGTCCTCAGGCGTATCTTGGCGATAAGAACAGAGTTCATTCTGGGCTTTTCCGAGGTGATCCTGGGCCTGCCTTTCTAGAGGACGAGGCAGCAGGGAGAAGCTGAGGCTCTGGGGCTGCTGGCCCAAGACAGGCTGCTTTCACTGGAGAATAGACCTAACACAATAGCTCGATTGTAAGAGGCCTGCCTCCCCCCACCCCCGCCACACACACATGTCAACGTTCTGTGATCAGAATGTCTTAAAATGATGTGTACATGTAACGGACATTGTAATGTTTTACAGCATTTTACAACATTATAATGTAATGTTTACAGTGCCCCCCCCAAAGCTGTTATTAAATCAGTCATATGGCTTACAGCGGAAGTGAGGGAATTACGGTTTTGTCATAGAACCTACCCTTAGAATGAGGTTCTGATGTGACCTGTCACCACAAACTCCAAGCCGCCAAACTCCAAAGCAAAGGGCTGAATAACCCTTCTCTTTGGGGTGTTTTATATAAATTCACAGAAAAGAAATGCTATTTGATGAATCGATTCATTCTTGAGATTTCCAGTGTGTTTGTCCAGGATGGTAGCAGGCTGGGGTAGACTGAGCCCAGATCTGGGTTTGAATCCCTGCTTTTTGGCCCATTTGTGGTGAGACCTTGGCAGAGGTGCTGTACCCCTGAGCCTCAGTTTCCTCATCTGTAAAGTGGGGGCAGCGCCCCCCATCTTGCGGGACCCTCTTAGTGCCACATGCTTCCTCTTTACAAGCCTGCTGTTGTGTGTTTGGGTGATTATTAGATTCACCTTCTGCCCCCTCCTACTGGGCTGTGGGTGCAAACAGAGCCCCTTCCCCACCTGACTGCTGTCACTGAGGCCATTTCAGATGAAATGAACTGTGATTCAGAGAGGCCAGAGCTGAGTGTACCTGCCTTGGGCGGTGCTGCTGTCTATTTGGGTTGTTCTAACGGAGCTACCAGGTGCCACATCTCTGATGGCTTCTGAGGAATTGCTCAGATGTGGCCCAGTCTAGGTCCTGAGGACCTGTACTCGGATTCTGCAGCCCTCAAAGTCACCAAGCAGGGGCGCAGGAAACACATGGCATCTCAGGCACAGAGACAGATGTTTGCCCGAGGCTCTGCCCCACGAGCTGGTGCCAGAGTTCTGTGGTGCTGACGTGGGGGACAGCAGCGCGGAGCTCCAGGTGCGGGGCTCTGAAGTCCGGCAGCCTGGCTTGGAATCCAGCAGCGTCTCACTGACCGCATCACCACAGGCACACTGCGTGTGGCTGTGCTGAGGCTCCTCTGTAAGAGGGGTGGCGATAATGCCTGTTCTGTCTCAGAGGCAGTGAGCAAGTGATGCGTCTGAACTGGGTAAGCACGTGGTTTCCTGGTGGGGTGGTGCAGCGTTCTATGGGGCAGCAACCAAAACAGACTTAGCTGCTGGGGGCCATGAGCAGGGACCAAGTAACAGTGTAAGGAAGAAAGAAGTCAAGACACTTTGAACAAGGCAGTCGAGTGAGGTGGGGAAAGGTATAGACTTTGGAGCCAGAATGACCAGGGATCAAGTTCCATATAATCATCAACTGTGTGACCTTGGGCAAGTTGCTTATCCTCTCTGAGCCTTAGTTTTCTCATCTGTAAAATGGGTTGCTAAAATTAGACCCTACCTCCTAGGGTTGTAGTGAAGATGAAATGAGATAATGCGTCTATGCCTTTCTTAGCTCAGCGGACACTTAAAGTCAAGCCAGAGCCTCTGCACAGCCGGGGCTGCCCAGAGAGCACAGTGATGCACCGTGGTTCCAGGCCGGAGCTTCCACGGCCTCCGAGCCCTTGTGCTAGAGAAGCAAATATTCAGTGTCAGCTTTCCAAAATGCTTCCAGGAGTTAAGGGAGCCCGCTGAGACCTCTGGGGCCACAGGAGAGAAGCTACTGTCCTGGGCTAAGATGCACCAGTGTTGGCTTGTGTCAGATCCACCAGACTTGGCCACCATGTGGCCAGACTTGGTGATGGGGGTGGGGCTTGGGGCAGGGATCTTTGCCTGGCACTGGTCCTCCTGCTTTGTGGACCTCCTGCAGCACAGGTGGCTCACACTCCTCAGCCACTAGAGTTCTGGCTGGGACACCAACAGGCAGACGAATAGTGCCCGTGCAGGTGGCAGGATGCTTGTACATAAGGCCGGTGTCAGGCATCCCGAGTTCCTTTGGTCGGTGCGTCTGCCCTCTTCCTTAGTGTGGACTCTCGGACACGGACATGCTGCAGGTCACCCCAGACATAAGCCCCCTGCCTCAGGCTCCTGGGGGACCCCCAGCGTGGGCAGCCTTGTGGATTTTCTGACACCCTAGCAGGATATGTCAGGACAGAGAGAGAACCTGGGTCTCTGCTCTTCCCTCTGCGATTCCGGTTGTTATGGTTCCTCACAATCAGTGAGTAACGTTTTCTGAGGGTTTGCTGCATACAGTTACTGTGCTGAGGCCTTCCCAGGCATAGCCACATGCGGTCCTCCTGGAAAGCAGTGGAGTGGAGTTCAGAGTGCTGGGTTCAAGTCCTGGGGCTGGCGTGTACTAACCACGTGGCCTTGGGCACGCAACTTACCCTCTGCCTCAGTTTCCTCACCTGTAAAATGGTGATGGATGACTGCTCATGTTACAGGGTGGTTATGAGAATTCTCAGTTGGTAAGTGCCTGGCTCGGAGTAAGTGCAACGTCAGTATTAGCCGTTACTAAGAGATGGGCACTATTGTTACCCCATTTTACAGAAAAGGAAGCTGTGGTTCCGCGAGGCTAAGTGTTCTGCCAGAGTCACTTGGCTCATGAGTGGTAGAGCTAGGATTTGAACCTCGCCCGTGATCACTACCTTATTCTGCCTCAGTTTGGAACAGTACATGTGGGGAGCATTGGGCTGGCTTCGGAAGTGGCATTCTCAACTTTCCTCAGAGCCCTGGTGAAAGGAGATCCTTTTCTAAGTAACCGAAATGGCCTCTGGGAGCTCTCATAATCCCTCAGCAGAGGCAATAGCTGACCCGTGACACACATATCACAGGGGAAGGGAGGGGTCAGGGAGGAATTTCTGTTTGGAAATGTTATCTAACGCTGAGCGCTCTCAAGGCACTCGGAAGTGGAGCCCGCTCTGTCCCCCCAGCCTAGTGCTGGGTAAGCCTGCTGGAGACCTGGGGCACCAGCCAGTGAGAGGAGGGTCAGGTGCCCTCGGACATGCAGGGAAAGCCCGGGCAGCACTTCTGCCCCGAGTCACAGTGGCAGAAATCCCTGGCTGGCGCGTCCCTTCCAGCATCGGAGCCCTTTGCCTCTCCTCCCGGCTGATGGTGAGCACACAGGCTGCTCAGCCCTGGGAGCTTTCTGAACAAGGGCTCCAAGCTCCCGCAGGACAGCGCCTGCTTTTGCCTGGGTATCGTCCCTACTCAGCGTGCAGAGGAGCCCAAAACTTTATAACGACTTCCCGAGCCCTGCGCTGCCCATGCTGCCTGACTGCTTCGATCCGCTGCCCCCTCCAGCACACACCTCCACACAGCACACACTCCCGCGCACACACACCAGCGCCAAGCTGTGCCCAGAGCCACTGCCGTCACCCAAAGGCTCTTTGTCTGGGGAGGAGAGTGGGGCTCACTGCTGAAGCCTCAGAACCCCAGCCCGTGAGCTCATGCACCGAACGCTACACGCTGCCCAAACATCCACAGGTCCCGCCCTGGCACACGCCTTGTTCGGCTCCAAGGGAAAGCAGGAGTGACCCCCTCTCGGACCCAGCTGCACGCATACCCCCAGCTGGAGGGGTCAGGGGTCTGGAGCCCCAGGCCATGGGGCCAGTGCTGCTTCTCTCCCCCTGTCCCTCAGGGCCACTTACCTCTTCCCTCCTGCTGGGCTCCCGGGGCAGGTCCTCACATGCTTCCCCTCAGCCGTCAGTCAGCAGGGCAGCCTGTCCATGGCCTCCAGGAGGGGTCCCGGGGTCGCAGGCCGGCCCGGCCACCGAGCAGCCCTGCCTCACTGGCCTCGCTGACTGCTCTGCCTGCACAGCAGGGCTCGGCCGGGCTGGGCTGGGGGCTGGCCGGGGGTTCCTTCGGGACTGCTCACAGCCTGCCCTCTCTTGTGGTGGGGGCCAGCGGCTGCCTCAGGGTCATGCTCTGCAGGTCGGGGCTCAGGGCTCGGTCCGTCCTCAAGCCGTCTGCAGCAGCCTCATTTGAACTCCCAGCTCCTTTGTGGAGCCTTTACATGCCGCCGGAGGAAACTGTGAGCACAGCCTGACCCTGGTTGGCTGTAGGCGCTTCTCTCCACCCACCAGTGCAAGAGGATCCCCCAGGCCCCAGAAAGGCTTCGGGCCTCCCCTCAGCCCCAGACAGAGGCGGGCGCCCGGTGATGTCACACTAGCTCCGGCCCCAGCTGGCCGGGCCCCTCCCGCCCCAGCCCGCTTTGGCAGCCTCAGAGGGCCCCCTCCTTCCTTGGCACGAGCAGCCTGGCCAGCTCTGCTCCCTGGCCTGCCTGCTCCCCAAAGCCGGGGCAGCTCCTAGTGCGCTCTGCTCTGCTCTGCGCGGCAGACAGCTTCCCCCTCTGACTCAGGTAATGGGTTTCGATCTGCTCCAGCTGTGCAGGCAGGGGATGTGCGGGCAGCAGGGAGCCTGGTCGGGCCCCCTTTCACCCCTCCCAGTGCACTGCCCCGTAGAGCCCCAGGTGGGCAGGCGGTGCAGCCCCTGTGCAGATGGCATTCCTGGAAGCCTCGCTCCCATCTTTAAACCCTGGGGAAGGGAGCCCGAGGCTGTCTGCGCAGAGGCCAGCAGCCATCTGTGCTGTGAGTTATCCAGAGGCAGGAGCCTAGGAGGGTGGAAATACCACAGGCTGGGGGTGCGGGGGCCCTGGAGAAATGCTTCGTCCTTCCCACCTGAGTGGCCTTGATTGAGTCACTTCACCTCTCTGGGCATTCCATTCATGCCTCAGCAAATGAGCCAGTACAAGTGTCTACCCCCAAGGCAGCGGCGGGGGTTCTGTGAGGTCACTCGGGAAAGCTCTTGGCACAAGGCAAGGTTGCGCCTCAGGGGTGTGAACTCAGACTTTGGGGCCAGGTGGTCCAGGGCTGCTGTGACATCCCCCCTACCCCAGGCTCTTCAGGGAACAAGTAATGGGGGTCCATCAGAGTTCTCAGCAGTCTGTCACCCAGGCGGAGCGTGTGAACATGTGTAGAGCCAGAGCAAGAACGGAAAGGACAGCCCTGGACCCAAAAAGGGAGCAGTCGTACAGGAGGGAGGCGGGTGAGTCCCGGGACGGGAGCTGCCAGGCCCAGCTGTGTCCCTTTGCCTGGACAACAGCCATGTGAGATATTGGTGTCACACTTCTTTCCTTTAAAAAAAAATGATGATGGTGATGATACTGATGTTTGGGTCCAAATTGGGAGAGAAATTATGATGGGGTTCTCCCCACCCCTAGGCACAGCGGATCACGTTCTTGGTCCCTGGGCAAACCGTCCATCATGGCTCTCCCTCCACTGTTGGCCACTCCTGTCTTTGCAGGGAGCAATCCTTCTTCGTGCCGCAGCTTCTCTCAGCTCAGACCTTCTCCCCGTCCCATTTGTCAGCCCCCTCCTCCTTTTTAGAAGGTGGGTCTGTCTTTGCTAAAAGACCCCAGTATCTTACAGGCCACTACATTAGCCAGACAGCTGGACTGGACGGAAAACCGCCCATATCTGCTATGGGAGTGAAGACGCCCACCCACTCTGGATTCTCCCAAGGGCCTGAAGGGTCCCGGTGAGACCGTGGTAGAGCCGGTGGTGGTGGGGTTCTGGCAAGCAGGGGGCTCAAGGTGAGCAGAAGCCCATGGGCTGGGGCTGAATTCTCTCTGAGCTGCACCCTTGACAACCTGGAGGCTGGCATATATCCTTTTTCTCCTCCCCGCCTCTCTCTGTGACTCTTTTCCAGGATATGTTTATTGGGAACCTGCTCTGAGCCAACACCAGGAAGCCAAAGTCCCTGTCTCACAGAGGTCACAGTCAGGAGGGGAGACAGACAGACAGACAACTGGGGTACATGAGAAGTGCTGGGCACTAGGGGAGCATCTAAGCCAGAGGCCTGGTGAAGCGCAGGGAAGGGCAGTCGGGACAGGCTCCCTGATGAAGTGGTGTGCCAGCCGGAGCCTGAACGATGGGTCAGAGTTGACAGGTGGTGAGGCTGGAGGATGGTCTGGGCAGAGACAATGGTTTGTGAAGACTGTGTACTGATTGCTTTTTCAAAGATGCTCCAACAGTATCTCCTGGTCCACAGTGAGACCTTGACACCCCTCGCCATGGAGAGGTAGGGCCTCTGCCCTTTCCCATTGAATCTGTGTGGGTTTGTGACTTGCTTGTAACCAACAGAATGCAGTGGGAAGTGACACTACCTGACTTCCAAGGCTCGGGGAGAACAGGCAGTGCAGTTTCTGCCTTGTTCACGGGCACGCTCTCTTTAGGAGCCCTGAGCCAAGCTGGAGTCTGAGAAGTCCAGTGGCCCGGAAGCTGCCATGCAGAGGCCACGCGCAGCGTAGGTTCCAGAGGGCAGCCAGCATCAGCCCCTAGATGTGTGAGGGGAGATGCCCTTGATGACTCCAGCCCCTAACTCATCGAGTCACCCCTGTCTAGAGAGGCACCCTGCTGAGGCCCCAGACCTGAAGAGCAGAGATTTGCCATGGCCCTGCCCCCCACACAGGTGAACTCTAACCCTGGCATCCATGAGCATATGAAAGGGGTGGTTTAAGCTGCTAAGTGTGGGTGGTTATGTTACACAGCAGTAGTAGCAGCCGCAGACTTGAGGCGAAGCCGCGGCAGGGAGTTCTTCCCAGGAGCCGAGAGAAGTGCACATGGCTGAGGAGAAAGGGGAGCTGAGGAGGCCTTGTAACAGGTGGGACCACATCCCAGAGGTAGTCGTGAGCCCCTGAAAGTGTTTAAGCAAGACAGTGTTCTGCATGCTTTTATTTGTAAACGCCCCCGTTAGTCATTGAGTGGAGCCTGGGTTAGTGGGAGCTTCAGACCAGCCATCCAGAGCTGGAGGGAGGTGGCCGCAGCCGTTCTGGTAAGGGAGGCAGTGGAGGCGGTGGGACTCGCTGGGTCGAGGGAATGCTCCTCGGACTTCCCTCCCTCTGGGAACAGGTGCAGCCCAAGGCCCTTGAAAACAAACCTGCTTTCACAATTCCAAGTTCCTAGGATCCCATGAAGGTGGGGAGGAGCACCAGGGCGGCCTTGCCCTGCCCATCTTTGCACAGCCCCTGCCCCTTTGGTGGCTTTGGACAGTCGAGACTGTTGCTGGGGAGCTTGAGCTGTGGAGTCACATTCTAGTTCTACCCTTGGTAGCCCTGAGCCTCACTTTCCTCATCTGTAAAATGGGGATGATACCAGGATTTACCTCCCAGGGCTGTTGTGAAAATTAAATAAGATGTGGCACCTTAAGCGTAACACACAATGGCTAGTGCATCGTAAGTGCTCACTAAGTGTTGGCTGTAGTGATTTCTGTTGCCTCTTTCACTCGGCTGAGAGGTCCCTGACCGCCGGGCATGTGTGGGCCTGGCTCGTGGCAAGCTTCCCTTCTACAGCCCAGTGCAGTGGAGTGATCACACGAGTGACTGACGGGGCAGGTGAAGAGCTGTGGCTCAGAGACTAGCAGACCTGGGCTCACATCCCACCCCTGTCACTAATGGGGGCAGCTTTCTGTTTCTCTTGCAGGCTTTGTTCATTTTTTTTTTTAAAGGAATGGTAATACTCTTCAGGGTTAGTGTGAGGGTTAAGATAATGTACCTGCAGCACTTAGCACAGTGCCTGGCACTCAGCACCCAGCAGTTGCTCAGGAAGTGTGTGCTGCTGCTGTTCCCTGCTGCCAGCCCCTCCCCACTCTCACCCAGAACACCCTGGTCAGGCTTCTACCCTGATGGCTCCTGGGTCTTGGAATTCGACCCCCCACACATCTCCCCGAGGAGCACTATTCCCACGTTTCCACCAGCCTATTGGAACACGGTGTCATGTGACTAAAGCATTGGAGGAGAAGGGAATCGCCATTTTTCTTTTTTAGAGTTTTTATCAGGATGAGAAACATGTGATGTTTCCATGGTGGCAGAATACAAAGAATCTTAATTGTGTCCCACAGTTTATATAAATGATTTCATGTGTTTTCGTGTCTTATCACCTTCCTGACAGTTACAGCATTTTTTTCTTTGGGGGAATGTTGGGATGTTGTGCTGTGCTACTGTGTATGTGGTAGGCATGTAAGGTGGCGTGGATAAAGTGTGTCACATGGGGGTGCTTGGGAGGGAAGCTTTGCTGGTGTCTTGCAACCTCAGAGTCTCACCAGCATTTCAAGCATCACTTATCCCAAATCGACTTTTTTTTCCCTTTTAGAACTTTCTAAATGCCATTCCATCGTCTTCTGGCCTACATTGTTTCTGATGAGAAGTCAGCTGTTTTCCTTATTGTCGTTCCTGTGTCCATAGTGGGTCTTTTCCACTCTAACTTTTAAAATGTCTCTCTATCTTTTATTTGTAGTAGTTTGATTGTGGTGTGACTAGATATGATTTTCTTGATATTTGTTCTATGGGGGATGGGGTTCACTGAGCTGCTTAGATCTATATGCTGATGTTTCTTACTGAATTTGGGAATGTGGGGGGAACTTTTGCTCATTATTCCTACAAATATTTTTTCTGCCCAATTCGCTCTCCTCTCCCCTTCTGGAACTCCATTTACACACTAGGTGCTGTCCCACTGGTCACTGAAGCTCCATGTATTTATTTTTACGTGTTTTTTTTTCACCCTGTTCTTGAATTTGAATCATTTCTATTACCAGTCTTCAAGTTTGCTGATCCTTTCCTCTACAAAATCTTATCTATTAATTTCACCCAAAATATGTTTTATGTCAGGTACTGTATTTTTTGGTCCTAGAATTTACTCTTGGTTTACTTTTATAGGTCCCATTTCTCTTCTAAGATTCTCTATCTGTTTATTCTATCCCTCATTTCCTGAAAACCCTGTATATGCAGTCTGACAGTTAAGTTCTCAAACTCATCTTAGAAAAAGTGCTACATACCTCATTGCTGAATATCACTATGGTCACCTTCCAAGTACTACTCCCCTTGGGAAGCTATGCACTGACGCCAGTGCCTAGTCCACCCTTCAGAGCAATTTTGGAACTCTTTTTCTGGAATGGCCATGAGAGTTGTCATTGTATTACCCTTGATGTCCTGAATGTCATCAAAATGTCTTCCTCTCAATATTTCCTTTATCTCTGGGTAAAGAAAGAAGTCATTTGGGGCCAGATCAAGTGAGTAGGGAGGGTGTTCCAGTTCAGTTATTTGTTTCCAGGCTAAAACCCACCTCACAGACAG